GAGAGAACTGGATACGAGGAGGGAGGACCGCATGCAAGTTTGTTTCGCCACGATGGATGGCGACGGGAGCGGCCGGGAGTGCCGTGGAGTGCAGACTCCTCCCCCTCCATCAACACAACTCTGGCGCGCCCCGCCCCGCGCAAGGACATTAAGCGTGAACACAGCTCATAGATCAAACCAACACATCCGGGAGTAGCGGCGGTGGCGGCGGCGGCCGCAGAGAGCGCACCGCAGCTCGGCGCAACCTGGGCTAGAGCGGGCCGAGTGTGACGGCGACGCGAGCGGGCCTCCGTCAGCCGTCAGCTTGTTGCAGCGCGGCGAGTCACATTGATGCCGTCACGACGGGAACTTTATCCATTCTCGTATACAGAATATGGTAGTTCTAATTAACGAACTTTCTACACACATATACGCACGACACAGTGAAACGAGGGGACAATAACTCCGAATACAAGTGTACACACGATTCCCGTCGTGGTTCTCAGTGATTCCCGCTGATTCCCGGGCCGGTGTGTACACATGATTCCCAGAGTTGTTGCCCCCTCGCTGTGAAAACATGTGACTCTCGCATTGATTCGAGAACACGTGCACATTTTCCTGGTATCACGGCGACTCGCCGCTGAACTAGCACACGCCACACGCGTCACTCCCGGCGCGCGCACTTTCAAGAGTGCTGTTTGCAAACGCGGCGGCGTGCCGTGTGCGTGCGGTGAGGAGGTGAAGGGGAGCTCCAAACCATTCCCGCCAACCCTCTGCCGCTCGCGCGTTTGAAACTCATCCGGCCACTGCTGCCAACATCTGCGCGCGGTGGCGGCGGCGTGCCAGCGCCAGCCAGGCCAGCACGATCGAGTGCAGTTTGCTCAACTACAGTTGGCAGCAGTGTGTGTGTGTCTGCGCCTCCCGGCACACGCACCACACCTGGCGCAGAGGCGACGCACTAGCTGCACTGCGAAAAATAAATATCAAGATGTTAATTAGCAAATCCCGCTTACGCTGTGCGTCGTGAAACTTTTCGCTGACTTGTTTGAAACGTATCGTGTGCGTCGGCAACTTCTCTAGTGCTTGGTCAAATAACAACAGCAAAAATTTGTTTTATTTTCCTTCTGACAACGCCTATTCATGTATATGTAAATATTTGTGGAAATAACTTATTGCGCGGAGCCAAGCAGACCTACAGGCGCATAAGCTTTTCAACCTTTTGGGGCGTTTGTCGTCGCGATTATGCCACGAGGAGAAGGTGAGTTGCCC